CTTCTGAAAATCTTCTCTAGAAAACTGCAGGGACTTGTCCATATAGTCGCTAGGAGTCATGTTGAGCTGAAATGCAAGATAGATAGATAGATAGATAGATAGATAGATAGATAGATAGATAGATAGATAGATAGATAGATAGATAGATAGATGATTAATGTATATACATGCATGTATATATAGATTTATCCTTATACATGCTTTAAATACTAGACATGGGTCTAAAATCTAAAGATCAGGATCTTCACATCCTTCACATCCCCTCTCCCTATGCTCTAGTCCTGTTAAAATTAGTTAAATTCAGCTGTTAATGGGTGTTTGGTATATATGAGATAACTAGTCAACCCTGAAATGCAGCCTGAACTGTGTTAATTCACAATTGCTTTTTTTTTCAAAGCATAAATCTAAATATTTAATTTCAGGTCCTCAGAAACATTACAATGCTAGTGTTTCTAATGATGTGATTATCCTCACTTGATTAAATTTGACATATGAACCTGAAGGAGAAAAATCTCATAGTGACTGCTCAATCGAAAATAATCAGAGAAGTTGGTCATAATTCAAAACAGGTTTAGGTGTTAAAAACACAAATGTGCTACACCTTCCACAATGAATTATCTGGTCCCGAGGAAGCTTGGACATCTTTATTATCCTAATAGTATAAACAGAGGTTTTGCCACACCAGCCGATAGGTGAGGCAGTTTAAAGGGTAAAATGGCTGCCTTCATCCCTCTCCCCAGTCTTCCCTGGATAGACTGAGGTCCTCCATGGATGCATGTCAATTGTCAGTTAAATGATCTGTTCCTAATGTTGTCATTGCATGATAAGAACGGAAGGAGTTTGATGGGGTTTAAACATTACTGAATCTCTTACACAGCTTTTGGGGATTTCTTTTTTGCTACAGGAATCGGGTTTGTCTGTCTGGATTGGAGGTCGTCTTGACCCTCTAGAGAATCTCCCTCCTCCTGTGGCTGTAATTCTCATCACAGCAGTCATAGCATTGTTCACAGAATTTGCCAGTAACACAGCTACAATCATAATCTTCCTGCCTGTCTTGGCAGAGCTGGTAAAATACTTCTATGTATCTTTTGAATAGCTTGCAGAAGCTTGATTGCCCAACATAAGCGCTCTTTTCTCTTATAAATGAGGAGACCTTGGCTCAGGCAATAGCCATCAATAGCTGTCCTGTACGTTCAGTTTCTCTTTTGTGCTTTGTATTCCTACACACTGTAACCCATTTCTGATTCACACATTTGTAGAAGTCTTTGCATAGAGCAGAGCCTCAAGTTTTTGTTAATCTCATATTGGGACTCCATTGAGTTGGAAGGGACCTCAGAAAAGGACTTTCCTTTTTTATATAGATATAAATTTTTATTAAGTTTTCCACAAAAGTTAAAATACAGAAAAATCAAGAAAAAAAGGGGGGGGGGGAGAAACACAAGAAAAAAAGAGTAGCTTCCAACTTCCCTTGGTACAGGTATAGATGAAAAATATATTTGCCTCTCACTCTATTTAATCTAATATTCAAAAGGATTCCTAAAAATTAATCCGTTTGAGTAATACATATAATTTGTACAAGATATTTCTATAAGTGTAACATCAATCAGCAAATCCCAAAGTTAAGGTTGGATTTTTTTGAGAATCAAGCAAAAAGTTTAAGAGTGGTTTCCAATTAGAGACAAAGTTGGACAGTGCCTGGTCTCTGAGCAAAGCAGGAAGTTTCACCATCTCAGCCAATTCCATTAATTTTAATGTCCATTCTTCAGCAGGAGGTATTTGTCTATCTTTCCATTTTTGTGCATATAGAAGTATCGCTGCAGTTATCATATAGAGAAATAAATTTCCGTGTTGTCTTTCCAATTGTTTGTCCATCTTACCTAAAAGAAAAGTCTCTGGTTTCAATTGCAATCTATTTTCAAAATCTTTTGAATCAAAGTACATATCATATTCCAATATTTCTTAGCCTTTTCGCAAGTCCACCATAAGTGATAGAATGTACCTTCACATTGATTACATTTCCAACAGACATTTCAGATACCTTTATACACCTTTGACAATTTATCTGATGTCAAATACCAACAGTACATCATTTTGTAAAATTTTTCTTTTAACATTATAATTAAGAGTAAACTTTAACCTTTTGTTCCACATATTTTCTCACTAATCTAACATTATATTATATCCAATTTTTTTTGCCCATTTAACCATACAATCTTTAACATATTCATCCTCCAAATTTATCTTTAGCAAAAGTTTAAAAATTTTAGCAATAAGGCATTCATCATTAGTACACAAAGCATAATCAAACTCAGTTTTCTCAGTGGTAATTTCATAATTTTTTTTTAATCTAGTTTAAATCTTTCCAGCAACTGTCCATATGTAAACCATTGGCAAACAAAGCCTTCCAATTCTAGTTCTTCCCTCCTCTTCAGGTTAGGTTCTTCAGAAAACGATAAAAGAGTTGCATACGTCAACCATCGTTGCTTAACCGTCATTTCTCTTCTATAAAAAGCTTCAGGACTTCCCTTTTTTGATGCCATGCTGAGAACAGGATCTTACTGAGGTTTCTGGCAAAAAAGATTCCAAGAACAAGGTGCTTTCCTTGAATGATCCTGTCAAGGATGTTCATGTGGGATCATCTGGTGAAAGCATGTACAAAACAATAGTTATATCTCCAGTCCTTCAGGAATTTCATCAGAGATATGTAATTCACTAATAAGTTATAATTTACAATCTTCTTTTTCATCTCTTTGCTTTTTAAAGGCCATTCGTTTGAAGGTGAATCCCCTCTACTTAATGATACCAGGAACTATAGGGTGCTCTTTTGCTTTCATGCTTCCAGTCTCTACACCCCCAAATTCCATTGCTTTTGCTTCTGGGCATTTGATGGTCAAAGACATGGTAAGTTGTTTTATAAAGTAATTGCTACTGTAGCATAATTATCTAGGACAGAGGAAGGCATATGTTTCGGCCCCACAGGGCCAGTTAATTTGCAGGAGCATGCATTACCATAGTTACTATTTCATTTATACTGTAGATTATTTATCGTATGAAACTCAAAATTAGCTTACAGTGAGAAATAGAACCGTTAGTACAAAATGGGTACAGTTTGGTGTGCCGAATAGAGATCTCAAGCTAGTCTGAAGTTGATATGGGATATGTTTAAATTAGAGCTGCATATAAATAGTGTTTTGAAATTTTCCACCAAACTTGTGGGCAGAGAAATTAGGTGGATGATTTTTTTTTTTTTTTGTTAGAAATAAAATTCCACCACAGTTTCTCAAGGGGTGGTTTTCCATTAATATCATTAGGGAGGAAAAGAAAAGAAAAAAAAAACAATGTGAGAAGTTTCTTTCCAAACTCTTCACTCAGAAATTGACTGAAACATGGGAAGCTAGGGATGATACAGATAGCTGGAGAAATTATTTTCCAATGAAAGACAAGACATTCACCACACACTAAGGGTGTGAAAAATATTTCCAATTCTAACCATTTTGAATTCTAAGTATGAATTTTGAAATTCTCTTCCCTGAGCGTCAAAATACTTCCATAATGACCAGAGGGGCCCACTTTGCTTGCAAAACAGATTTATTAAAACCAAGTGTTTTGAATTTGAAATGCTTCAGATTTGAAATGTTTTGCAAACCATTAACATACACCCGTTGTCCATCTCAACAGCAAACACCAACTTCTTCCATGAGAATTTCAGATTTTTCTCTCAGCTGCAAAAAAAATTCTAAAGCAATTTCTTTTTCCATCAAATTGGTGAATGTATTCGCCTGGCACTAGAGTTCTTTGGTTTTGTTTACATTGTAACAAACATTTAAGGGAGAACTTAATTAGCAATGATTAAGCAGTGATTAACTTCTCTGCCTTTTCCCCAATCTGTCCTTCATCTATAGCTTTGATTTACTCCACAGGGGAAGCATGTACAGTAATAGAGAGATAGAGAGATAGAGAGATAGAGAGATAGAGAGATAGAGAGATAGAGAGATAGAGAGATGGATGGATGGATGGATGGATGGATGGATGGATGGATGGATGGATGGCAACTGCATATTTTAACTAACAAGTGACATCACAGCTTCATGGGAGTGGAATATAGATAGGGAAAAGAGCATAGAGGAAAAACAATTAAACAATTATTCTCTTCCCCCCTCCGTGCCAGCTTCCCAGTTTAGCTATCAGCTTGTCATAAGTATAAATCAGCTGACATGGGGTCCTTGGATGTTCAAAGTCTATGTCTTTCACCAAAGGATTCTGAGTAAATGTGCAAATCTGGATAACAGGATTATTTCTCTTATTGACTGGTTAAAGAATATAAAGGGATGAATAGAAATTCTTATGCAAATATCTGCAGTGGGAACCAGCTCTTACAAATTTCTTTGTAAATGGTCTGAGCTTAGGGTGGAGTAATGCATTGGCAAGATTGCAGATGAGGCAACAATTTGAAGGAAAAGAAAACAAGAATTGCAAAGCACTCTAAGACCAACTCATGATCTATGTGGCAACTCAAGATCTATGGAGCACACATTCTCATTGTTATTTTGTGTGGCCCTTGGAGGCCAAAAAGAGTAAAAAGAAAAACTATGGCCAAAAAACTGTTGCTTACTTCTGACCAAATTGTGAAATGGTTCCTATCCATATTCACCATAATATTGTAAGAATATAAATGTAGACACCAGCTGGAACTCTCAGGGAAGGACATGGGCCATCTCCATACACCTTTCGTAGCTACTACTCATCTTGCCTTATATGTACAGTATTACGAACATATCCAGCAGTAAAGCATGGCTGTATCTCAGTCAGAGCTGAGATATGATTAGCAAGTGAGGTCTAAACAAACGATGGCTGGTATTGGGAAAGTTATTCCTCGTGTTGGTAAACTTTTATAGCTAGTTGGATCTTTGAACAAGTAACTGCAGTTTCATTTCTCACACCTGCCACATTTCATTAATGATCAAGTTTGCAGGACCTGAGGATATTAATTTATTACTCTCTTGTTTTAAAATAGAAAATAGGAGTATAGTAATTATTTGAACTTTAATTCCTTTAGCAGCTCATTATCAAAGGTTCAGGAAAAGATACATTCTCTCTCCCATCATGGTCTAAAATGCACATTTTCCACATTTACTCAATGAATAAATTTCTGTCTTCTTACTGGACTTTGACTTCCTATGAAATTCCTGCACTAAGATATTCTTGGCTTCCCTGATCAGGAAACAGTGTCTGAAATCCCATGCTTAATGCAGTTGCACATATGGTTTTCTGGAAGAGGAGAGAAGAGGGAGGATGTAGGAAATATGGAAAGCTATTCATGAAAACAAATAGCATAGAATATTTTGAATTAGATCTAATGAGTCTAAATTAAGAGGGATCTATTTCAGCTGAATATTAGAAGAAATATCCTAATGGCAAAAGAACCCAACAACAGAAGGAAATATCTGGTGTACCGTTGAGTCCCTCTCCAGACTGAGGCTGAACAGCCACCAGTCGTGGATCATGGGGCTCTAAATTTCTGGAACTGAGCAGTGGGTTGGGCTTAATGACTTCTAAAGCCTGCTCCAGTTTTACAAGTCTGTAATGACCCAGAGCCTGCATCCTAAATCAAAAGCATTTTCTCCCCTTGCTTTTCCCCTCTACAGGCGAGAACTGGCCTGCTGATGAATTTGATGGGAGTCTGTCTTCTGAGCTTGGCCATCAATACTTGGGCTATGAGCATCTTTCAGCTGGGCAGCTTTCCTGCCTGGGCCAACATCCATATGGAAAATGCAACCACCCTACTGGGAGATGGCCAGAACATTACTTTGAACTTAATGAGTTAATTATAAGTAAAGCAACCTTATTCATGAGGTTGGGTGTGAAAATGTCTCTCCTCAAATCTGAGCACTAAATTAAATTGATATTGAGTACAGGTACGCATGGAGGGGTATACTGTGGATGTGCAGCCACCATAGGACCATCAAGTACTTTTGCTTGTTTTTACAAATCTTTGTGAATATTCATTGATTTTTATTTTTATTTTTTTGGTCTGACAAAAAGACTTTCTCATTTTCATTCAAAGAATTATCAAGTAGCTTTAGGTTTAGTCGTTCACTGTTTGAGGCTTGGAAGATCTTTTCCCATCTTTTCTTGTCTGAATAAATGGAACTATTTTCCTTTACTAAAGAGGATTATTGCCTAAATATAGAAGTATCTGGCTATTTAAATATAGCAGCATATTGCCATCTGAATATAGAAGCACATGAGCAAGTAAAACAGTGTATCTTTCCTTGAATTGGAAAGTCTTTTAAAGATTTCAGACTATATATTCTCTGCCAGATACAGGTACAGCAGGTTATCAAAGCAGAAATTAAAAAAAAAAACAAATCGTATGACCTTGTTTGACTAGGGTGGTGACAACTTGGTTGAATCTGTTGCTGTTTAGAAGAAACCAGGAGCACAGATAATATTGACAAAATTACAAATCTGAGTTGTTCTGAAAGATAAGAGAGATAAAATGGAAAAGGTATGGGTTTGCATGTATGTGCAAAATATGTTTGGGAGAGTAGTGAACGTAGTAAGACAAGCAAAGCTCCTCATTTTCTGCATGAGTTTCATAGACTATCTGTAAACAGAATAGTCATAATAAAGTCAAATGATGAAACTCAGGATGAGGAACTGGCCAAGGCAGCCAATTCTGCTGAACACGGATAGGAATTCGTGGTGACCAAAATGCTGTGATCACCCATTTCGAGAGTTTCATTTCTCAAAATCGTTGAAAACACTGGTACTTGTTAAAGAGCATGTCAGTGGATCAACAGTCATGACTCATTGCCTTTTACATTTGTTTCTTGAAGCCAAAGAGCTCATTTTGTGTGTTTTGTATTTTGCCTCAACAAATACACTCTGTCCTCCCAGAATTATGTGCCTAGGGATTTTAATTATATTCTTGATAAACTCTATATGTGCATGGTGATCTCTAAACAACTTCTCCAGAGGTACACAACCTGAAGTTGTTAGGCTGCTCTTGGAAGTATTACCCCAGATATACCCCAAACTTGTTCTCAAATTGTAGTTTTTTATGTGATAAAAAAGGGACAATTATTCAATATATGACTAGAGAGTAGTCATGCTAAATGTAATTAATGTTAATCACATGTACATATAAGTCAAATGAAATCATATTTGGTTTTTGTCAAAGACATGCCCACGAATTTTTGGAGTGTAGTTTCCAACACTACTATTTACAGTTCAAATAAGTCCTGCAGCACAGAAAAAGTTGGGTGCTCACAACTGACGTACAACATGCTTACCAGTCCAGTAAATGTGAAGCAGTTTACTGGAAAAAAGAGAGGAATGGAGACTTTCTGAATTAAAATTATCCTTTCACAAAAAGCAGTTACTATGAAAAATTGTCACTCAGGCATATCTTTAACACATCCATTATAGCCAGACAGATTATATCCATTATCCAGTTCTTGTGGTCTCTTGCAATGTAATGCTAGGTTGCTGACAACAATAACTTCTCACCTGGCTAGATATATACAATGTTCTGTACCTCAAGGAGCATTGGAAGTGTTTTAGATTCATGAGACCATTCATCCAGCTAGCTCGGTATTGAAAATGATACTGATTGTGATTCTGCAAACTTGAGGATAGATTTTTTTTCAAGTTCCATCTGGAGATACCATGATCCAATACAGATGTTCCCTACAAGTAGAAAGTAGTAGTAGTAGTAGTAGTAGTAGTAGTAGTAGTAGTAGTTGGTATTAAATGCTTGATGCTCAATAACACCAACTTTATCAGAATTAGGTCTAATAGGAAACAATTGATCCTCAACTGATCATGATATGTAACATGAAGGTCATGACCTTATATACTTATGAAAAACTTCCCAAAAGTTCATGAACATTCACTGGGGAACTTGTCTGTTCATTCATCACAGTTTAGAAACACAGCTTGGATCATTTAATAATGGTCACAACAATTTTTTTATCCATACATTGTCCTTCAACTTAAAATGTTGCAAGAGCTTTGTCAAAATTAACTCCAGTATTTGGGTGGAACAGATGGATTTAATGCTAGCCAATAGAGATATCTGGATCCAGCTTTTCCTAGAACTGAAACCTAGTTGATCCCATGGACAACAACAACATTTTGAAATGGGAACTTAGTCAGTGCTAGACTCCACCATGTATTATTGCAGGCTATGCTAGATTCCTTCAGTGTTTTCTTGACCCCATTAATGTCAGGAATTTGAGGTAATCCAAAATGCATCAAAAATACCATTAGACTTAAGTGCAGTGTGTATGAATGAGAGCTAAACTGGTATTAAGGTTTGTTTTGCATTGTTGCCCACTATGTTATATTGCCCCAAATGCACTATCTGACTTCATATCTAGAATAAGGTAATATGCTGGGCATAGACTAGAATGTGGTTTCTCTTTAGATATGCCATTGCTCATTGGAGAAATTTGTTTGGTACAAAGTAAAATGGCAAAGGTCCACATAGTGATGGCAATAGTCATTGCCAGCATCATACGTGAGAATGCTTTATCACAGGTCATGATGACCATATAGATCTCTTTCGGTCTAAATCATGAAAATGGTAAAAGTCTTGATTGTTGATCTTGTCATGTCCATTAGTCATTCGTGAGGAATTATTGTTGCTTGGATTTGGGAGAGGGAAGTTAAAATCTGATGGGTTTTTGTATTGATTGATGATCTTTGTACTTTCAGTGAAAGTGTTTGTATATGAACATTGATTCTAATCACCACTGTAAACTTGATTCTGTGTTATACTATTAGATATGTGTGTAAGAAACGGACTTTCAGCAATTGTAAGATCAATGTGGAAAGCGTGCTTTGGAAGATACAATATGAGGAATTGTGCTGGGGGTGGAAGGAAGCTCAGCAATGAATTCTTGCTGTGATGAATTTTCTTATCCCTTGTTGCCTAGACTTATTCAGGATCTGGAGCATATGTGGCAAAGAAAGCTGCTGGGTGCCTCTCTTGTTAAAGTTCATGTCACTATAAAAATTACATTAAATCGACATCACTGATGTGGAAATAGGAAAAGGTCAAACTAAAAGCATTGACATATAACTAGCCAAGTATCAGATTACAAAACTCCAGATGCCTAAGATGCGTAATTGTGATGACTGAGAATAAAATGCACTCATTACTCTCTTGTACTGTTACATTCTGTATTTGTGAGTCACAAGGAAAGGATGATGTTTAGCCTTTTTTTCATGAGCATGACATCTGTTGCCCAAATAAAGTTATTTATTAATTCCCACACTATAAAACAAGATAATTGGGTTGACTTGGCAATCAAGGGACCAATTGTACAATTGTAGGGCTACCAGATCTGGACTGAAAAAATCCAGGAAACCACTAGATGGCAGCAGAATGTTGAGGTTGATGCCATAGTTGTCTGCATTTTTGCATTGCAGAAATGGTAGCCTTAAGGGAATGAAATGTATTGCTAGAACTAGGCTGCAACGCTATATAGATTTCTTGACACCAAGTATTATTAAGCTTCTTTAAAAAATTACACAGAGAGACTATAACTGATAAATCACGATGCTTATTAATCACTGATAAAAAAAATAGTAAAGTCATTGGTTTAAAAAGTACATCCTGAATGATAGGAGAACTTAATCCAACACCCTTCTTTTCTAGCTATATTATGGCCACCCTGCTCCTGTGCCCAGGGAATAAAAATTTAAGCAGTACAATTTTTCCATCTAAAAAACTATGTATGGAAAATAAGCCAGTATTGAACGTTTCTGTATTGGGTATAATTACAAACACAGCCATTAAAAAAAAAAAGAATTTTAATGCTATTTTATTTGGTCTCTATAAACTTATCTGTTTTTTTCAGGAACCTTGCATCTGTTACCATACGGTATAGCTATTACTCTGAAAAGGGGGGGCCCACCTATTTTTAGCTATGGGTGCAGCCACTACTGGCATGTGGTCTTTGATGTGCATGCTTGCCCAGACCCTAAAAAAATTAAGGCTCTCTTGATCAAGCTTGATTCTTGGCAATGTAGTTTATTTGGCAATAATACTGAAGTCATCTGACATTGCCTTCTTCTAAGATGTGTTTTGATTTCCCTGTCTTAAAGAAGCTATGCAGGTGCGTTTTCCTTTTTGTTCCAGTATGCTTTCATACTGGAGAGTTTTGAGATTTTTTTTGGTTTGGGCCTCATGCTAGAGGCCTCCTTAAAAGGGGCTTATATAGCTTTAGATGTTATATTAGCTACCGACCAGAAGGAGGCACTGTGCAACCACTTTCATCCTTACCAGGACTCTTAGGCATAGGTACCCTCCATACTAGATGTTCTGTGTTCAACCCTTTAATGGGATTTGAAGCCACAAGCTTAACTATAGGGTGCATTTAGCTTTAGGGCTATCTTGGCCTGGCTGTCAGTAGCTTACAGGAAAGGTGAATAGAGGTGAAACTAATAGAAGAGAATGTCTGTAGCTCGGGGTTGAACTGTGGAGTCCTTGGTGCTCTCTGAGCTTGATTGTTTGATTGCAGACGTTTCATTACCTCATTAGGTAACATCATCAGTGCAACATCTGCATTCAGACAGCCAAGCATTCACGTCTGCATTCAAACAAACAAACAATGAAACGTCTGCAATCAAACAACCAAGCTCAGAGAGCACCAAGGACTCCACAGAGGTGTAACTGGTCATGTAGTGCCTCCTACAGGTCAGTAGCTAATATAACATTTCCTTGTCTCGCCAACAATCCTGTGCTGTCTTAGTGGTCTCCCATTCATGTATTAACCAAGACCAACTCTGCTGAAGTTTTCAATATCAGCCAAGGTTGGCTAAGTGCTGCCCCTGCAGGGGCCAAAAAAAGTTTCTTTGCTACATGATTTAAGATGACTGTTGAAGGCTCTACAATGCAGCATACCTGGTATAGTAGCTTTTGGAGACACACAGTAGCAAGCATTCAGGAATGGGCACTGTACCAAACTAGTATTATGGAACATAACACACAGAAATTGCACAACCTTGAAACAAAATCAATATTTCTTCTGCTACCATAAGGTTTAGCTCTTGACTGAGAATATTTTCTTTCATCCATTTTAACTTCTTGGATAGATCAGAAACATAAGGACTTTCTCCAGTTGGACTCAATTTCTGGGATCTATGTGGACGTAGCTGTGAAGTTTTCTGGGCAACAGTGTGGAAATGGTTTGCCACGGCTGCCTTCTAGGGATGTTTTTCTGACTCCTGGTCATCTTCCATCTGAGTACTAACCTGGTCTGATCCTCCTTAACTTTCTCCAAGTTGCTGGGTGCTGTCATCTGCTGTAGTGTTTGTTTGTTTGTTTGTTTGTTTATTTATTTATTTATTTATTTATTTATATTGTTTATATTACCACTCATCTTACAAAATATATTCCTGGGTGGCTAACAACAATCAACCACTATAGACATATAAAAATACAATTTAAAAAAAAACCCTACAGGGTTAAAACCATCACACATCGGATCATATAAGCCTACAAGTCTCCAGACCCCTGCTTGTTTTACATGGCTGGGGAGATAGAAATATTTCTAGGTGATTATTATTTATCTCCTAAAGTATTTATCTTGTTAGCATAACTTTTCAACCATTAGCTTTAAAACAACTGACTGGTGTGACTTAACACAAATTCATCCTATTTAGTTGCTACGTCACAACCACCCAAATTAGAGATACAACTTTTAGTTGATAATCTGAGATGCTCCTATCAATGGAAATAATGGCTAGTTGGTTTTATGATACACACTGTTGCTTGGCATTTATATTGATAATATAGTGACCTCTGGTTACAAAGCAGAACCTTGTTTTCATGTAAAGCAAAAAGTGGAACAGCTTCACCCTCTCTACAGAAAACTTAACTTCTTCCAGAGTGAAAGCTCCCTTAGTTGAATAGATCTCACTCTAGATGGAATTAGTATATTGTGGGAATATTTACACAACAGGTTTACCAGTTGTTAACCGTGGCTTACTTAAACTAACGTGTTAGGTTTGCATGACACACTGGACTGAAAATTAACCACAAAAGTAGGTTTCACATGTGGTATAAGGGCATCTACAAAGTGCCAGACTGGAAGCTTAGCTTAAAGCTTCCCCATGCTGTCTGGGGAATTCTGGGAGTTGAAGTCCACACATCTTAGAGTTGCTAAAGTTGAGAAACACTGGCTTAAAAGGATTGTGCCCCCCAAACTGGAGTGGAAATATAAGCTATGTTGACGGTCTGTGAAGTGGCACAACAATTTAATAGGAATACTTAAAATACACAACTGGATAGACTGCTTGTTCTCTTGAGATGCAATTTTGAGTATGGGGAAAGCTTAATCCATTGTCTCCTTTGCTCTGCACACAGAATAAAAGTCTAGTACCCCTGGAATACCTTTGTGTAGCTCTCTGCTCTTTGGATTGCACATTTTCAGTCAATGGGATTTTAGGAGAAGATGCCAGTCTTGCATGAATCACTGCAACTGACATATACATGTACTGTATTCTCTCCATGCTATAGCCTTGTTAGCTCAACAGGCACCACTGTGGTGAAATAACAGCATTTGGCCACAAGGAGACAGTATTGTGTTATACAGGGGAAAAACAGACTGTTCATAATACCAGGTAGTCCCCAGGTTAAGAAGGCCCAGTATACAGATGACCCATAGTTGAGTATGGAACCTATTTTGGCAAAATTTGAGTTAAATACACAATAGTTTGAGTTAAGTATGCAATACTGCTTATACTGTATTATACAGTAATATTGTTCTGGCTTACACACAAATTCGATTTAAAGACAGACCTTGGGAATGGAACTCGTTCTTAAACTGGGGACTACCTGTACTGTACTGTACAGTATGTATTTTTTCACATGCTTTAGACAATATTCCAGATAACTGACAAATTATCCAAAGAAAAGGAGAGCTGCTGTTTAAAAGAACTTGTGCTCTTTCTGTCTCTCTCTTCCTGAACAAGAACCACCGTCAGATGCTTTGATTAACATCTATACATTTTCTAAAAAGTCTTCTGTACAAACATTTGCACTACTCGTCAACCAGAGAATGAATAAATCAATTCATCAGATGTGGAGACACACGCTCGGAATATATCTACTGCAGAGATTATTAAGATGTGTCACTGATACAGGGATCTGAGAGTGTTAATGCCGGATCAAGAGCTACGGGAAACAAAATGTTCTGCAATTATTAGTAGAATCCAACTTTGGAGAAGTCTGTTACAAGCCTTCCCATGATGAGTTGGATCTGGGCTGCATTTACCAGAGGATGGGGTGGGGGTGCAGAGGGAGGGACTCTGTGCAAACCCTCTTCTCTGCATTTTCCTGGGTTCTCCAAAAACTGCCCTGGAGAAATGGGGGATCCTCTGGAGCAGCCTTTCCCAACTGGGGTTCTGCAGAACCAGAAGAGGTTGCTAGGGCTTCCGTGAGAGACTGTGGTTTAAAAAAAAGCACCTTTTTTTTAACCTTGTGCACCACACAATGCTAGCGCCTGCAGTGGTGGGAATTTTTATGTGCCATGACTCAGCTGCCATCTTGCTGTTGTAAACATTATAAAAATGGATTGTATACATTAGATATGAATTCTATTGTGAAGTTTTTGTATTTTTTTGCCATTTTTGTGCAGGTGTTCCTTGAGACCTGAAAATTATTTCAAGGGCTCCTCCGGGGTTAAAAAGTAGAGAAAGGCTGGTCTGGAGCCTCGTGAGAGGTAACAAAGAACAGGAGAAATCACCAGCTCCAGGTTCCTTGTGCTTTCACAAACTGAAAGAATCTGTTTATTCCCAGATTAATAATTTATCAAATCTATCATGTTTCCTTTCCTGAGCTGCTTTTCTTATGGATAAGAGAGGAATGAATGTATAGATAGCTGGAATAATACTTCTGAAGAACCGATTCTTAAAATGGCATTGAGGTTAGGCCAAGAAATCATTGCAAATTATCAGGACTGTGATTTAGGACTAGCCTAAAATGATGTGAGATTGTGGGGGACTAAAGTTGGATAGGAGAATTATTGCAAGGAGGTACAATCAGACAGCAGACAGAGTAATATGGTTCTTAGTGGGCCTTACTCTGTATAGCAAATACTTCAAATTGTAGCTTTAACTGCTTTAATATAAAAGATATTTTTGATAAGAAGGG